TCACACACACCAACTGACATCACACACACCAACTGACATCACACACACCAACTGACGTCACACACACCAACTGACGTCACACACACCAACTGACATCACACACACCAACTGACATCACACACACCAACTGACGTCACACACACCAACTGACGTCACACACACCAACTGACGTCACACACACCAACTGACATCACACACACCAACTGACGTCACACACACCAACTGACGTCACACACACCAACTGACGTCACACACACCAACTGACGTGACACACACCAACTGACGTCACACACACCAACTGACGTCACACACACCAACTGACGTCACACACACCAACTGACGTGACACACAACAACTGACGTCACACACACCAACTGACATCACACACACCAACTGACGTCACACACACCAACTGACGTCACACACACCAACTGACATCACACACACCAACTGACGTCACACACACCAACTGACGTCACACACACCAACTGACATCACACACACCAACTGACATCACACACACCAACTGACGTCACACACACCAACTGACGTCACACACACCAACTGACGTCACACACACCAACTGACATCACACACACCAACTGACATCACACACACCAACTGACGTCACACACACCAACTGACGTCACACACACCAACTGACGTCACACACACCAACTGACGTCACACACACCAACTGACGTCACACACACCAACTGACGTCACACACACCAACTGACGTCACACACACCAACTGACGTCACACACACCAACTGACGTCACACACACCAACTGACGTCACACACACCAACTGACGTCACACACACCAACTGACACACACACCAACTGACGTCACACACACCAACTGACGTCACACACACCAACTGACGTCACACACACCAACTGACGTCACACACACCAACTGACGTCACACACACCAACTGACGTCACACACACCAACTGACGTCACACACACCAACTGACGTCACACACACCAACTGACGTCACACACACCAACTGACATCACACACACCAACTGACGTGACACACACCAACTGACATCACACACACCAACTGACGTGACACACACCAACTGACATCACACACACCAACTGACGTGACACACACCAACTGACGTCACACACACCAACTGACATCAACACACACCAACTGACGTCACACACACCAACTGACGTCACACACACCAACTGACATCACACACACCAATTGACATCACACACACCAACTGACATCACACACACCAACTGACGTCACACACACCAACTGACATCACACACACCAACTGACATCACACACACCAACTGACATCACACACACCAACTGACATCACACACACCAACTGACGTCACACACACCAACTGACATCACACACACCAACTGACGTGACACACACCAACTGACGTCACACACACCAACTGACATCACACACACCAACTGACATCACACACACCAACTGACATCACACACACCAACTGACGTCACACACACCAACTGACATCACACACACCAACTGACATCACACACACCAACTGACATCACACACACCAACTGACATCACACACACCAACTGACGTCACACACACCAACTGACGTGACACACACCAACTGACATCACACACACCAACTGACGTCACACACACCAACTGACGTCACACACACCAACTGACGTCACACACACCAACTGACATCACACACACCAACTGACGTGACACACACCAACTGACGTCACACACACCAACTGACGTGACACACACCAACTGACGTGACACACACCAACTGACGTCACACACACCAACTGACATCACACACACCAACTGACGTGACACACACCAACTGACATCACACACACCAACTGACGTCACACACACACCAACTGACGTCACACAGTATGAGCCAATGAGAGGCCAGGACCAAATTCAAATGTAGTACCACCAAAAAGGTTGAGAGGGCGCCACACAGGCGTTTTTAGGCTCAAAAGTGAGATTTTATCTAATTTGCGCTAAAATGTCACTAAAAGGACCAGGATATGTAGAGAGCACCACAATAAACATATTTACGCGATTTATGAGTTAAAAAAGTTGATTTGGTGTTTAGTCGCTCTTTAAAGACTAGGATCGAACCAAAGTGTTTTGAGAGCCAGAAACTCGTTTAATTCGGGCGTTCTGCTCTCCCAAAATTCCATCCACTGAGCGGCGCTGTGATCAAAAAATGACACCGTTTGTTGCCCAGTTCACTTCCGGTTGATTTCATACAATGGCGAATATGGCTCACGAAAACAACAAACGATTGACAGTGCCTGAATTGCGTGAAAGGTTGAAGCGAAAGGGTATTTGCAGTGTGGGAAAACGAAAGGAGGAATTGTTGTTGCTAGTTCAACGAGCGGATGGTGTTTATGAAGATTTAGAAGAAGATGACAGCGAGCAGAGTGAACGAAAACGGCTGTGTGTGCGAGTGACAGATGGTAACAATGAGAATGAAGTTCAGCTAAGAGGGAAGAATGTGAATTGGACGGATGATTTGCGCGATATGCCACTAGTTAGAGACGGGAATGTATTTGCATACAGAAAATGACGAAAACACTCAACCATTTAGAGAAAATGCGCCGGGCAGAGAGACCCGGAAGTTGCGAAGGCAAGTGTTACCCATAATGCAACGCAAAATTCAGTCGCTCCCCCGCCCATCGGATGGAATTTTGGGAGAGCAGAACGCCCGAATTGTAATACATAAATAGTTACATTTGTTGTGGTTTGAAAGTTAGGTACCCCAGCTTTAAATTGGACGTGACGTATAAATCGCCTGAAGCCAAGATAACGTTTCCTCCAGTCCTGAATCTGAATTAGGGTCAATATTGAGATTTCAGATGTGAAATGTTCATAATAGTCAGTGTCATGGATCCGCTGACTGCTCCTGCTCCTGTGCGCTGGGGTTGCCAGGTCTGCAATTTGATTGGGGTTTTATTTTTATTTTTTTTTGCTGCTGTGACAAATCCATGCGACGATGATGAGACCAAACAAAAGCAAATGGTTTATCAGCAGAAATAATGTGTGTGAGGAGGAAAGTGCTAAAAGGTGATTTTTATTTTTATTTTTTAAATTTATGTTTCACGGTGCACACAACTGAGGCTCTTTTTGATGATTGTAATGTGCTTGTATGATCTAATGTAACTTTTCTTGTCTTGCCTTTTCAGCTTCCTAAATTGAGTTTTGTTTTTTAACATTTTGGCTGGTGGCGCACCTTTTTTGTTGATTGAAAATATAAAAGGTTCATTTTTCTCTACACGCCTCACATCAGATTGATAGAGACGGTTTGACACACAATGGCGAATCAGCGATGGACGTTGTAGAGATCTGTGAGGTTTTTTTCCCCAGATTGACTTTTCCAACATCAATAGATAAGAAGTTCCAGCTTTTGTGGAATTCACCGGAAAGCCAAGCGCATTGTGCGCTCTGCAGAGGAAGTGATCGGCCGCAGCCTTCCATCGCTGCAGGACCTGTACGTCGCCCGAGCTCGAGGCCGGGCTGGTCGTATCACAGCCGACCCCTCTCACCCTGCACATGGACTATTCCAACCACTCCCCTCTCACCTGCACATGGACTATTCCAACCACTCCCCTCTCACCTGCACATGGACTATTCCAACCACTCCCCTCTCACCTGCACATGGACTATTCCAACCTCTCCCCTCTCATCTGCACATGGACTATTCCAACCACTCCCCTCTCACCTGCACATGGACTATTCCAACCTCTCCCCTCTCATCTGCACATGGACTATTCCAACCACTCCCCTCTCACCTGCACATGGACTATTCCAACCACTCCCCTCTCACCCTGCACATGGACTATTCCAACCACTCCCCTCTCACCTGCACATGGACTATTCCAACCACTCCCCTCTCACCTGCACATGGACTATTCCAACCACTCCCCTCTCACCCTGCACATGGACTATTCCAACCACTCCCCTCTCACCTGCACATGGACTATTCCAACCACTCCCCTCTCACCTGCACATGGACTATTCCAACCACTCCCCTCTCACCCTGCACATGGACTATTCCAACCACTCCCCTCAGGCAGGAGGCTGCGGTCCATCAGGACTAGAACCTCCCGCCACAAGAACAGTTTCTTCCCCTCTGCTGTTGGACTCTTGTAGCGCTTTTCCACAGCACCGGCACTACACCACTCTACACGACACGTCACGACCCGGTCGAGTATGCGTGCTTTTCCACATATCTCCATCGGACACCTTCAAGTGGGTGGGCTTTTCATACCACCGCTACCGTTACGTCATTTCCGCTACCGTTACGTCATTTCCGCTACCGTTACGTCATTTCCGCGCGACTCACGAGCATTAAACCAGGAAAAACATTACATCCTCAAACAATGGAGGACTCCGAGACGATCGTGGTGTTGCTGCTCTCTCTGTGGCTACTAGTCACAAATTGACTGAAAAGCCTGAGAAGAATCCAGGCGGCGAGACACCAAAGAATGACGAAGTTATTGAAAACCTTGCAGGAGTTTGCAGTTGAGGACAGGAGACAACGAGCTGAAAAAAGACGACGTTTGTGGGTAAGCTAATGTTGCTATCGCTAGCTTTGTAGCAGCCGTCCTGAACAAAATGGCTGCTGGCTGTCTCTGTAAATCATTAAAATGTGTATGCTGTATGTGTGTGTTTCAGATGCTTCTCGGGTTGCGTCGCCGCCGCAAGCCATCGGTGTGGGCCTTAAACCGAGCCTCCGAGTGGTGGGATATTGTAGTCCCAAGCTTCAGCAACACGCAGTGGGTGCAGAATTTCCGAATGTCCAAAGAAACATTTGATCACCTCTGCACAAAGCTGCGCTTGATTATGGAGCGACAAGACACTACTTACCGGGTATGTGTGCCCCTAAAGAAGAGAGTGGCTATCGCACTCTGGAAACTTGCTACTGGCTCTGAGTACCGAAGCATTGGTCACCTTTTTGGAGTCAGTATAACAACGATGTGCCGCTGTGTGCAAGACTTTTGTGCTGCAGCAAATGCGGTGTTGGTCCCAGCGCAGATCCGTTGTCCTACTGAGGAGAAATTCAGGGAGATTGCTGCCTACAACGAGAACAGATGGGGGGTCCCACACTGTGTTGGTGCCATTGATGGATCCCACATCCCTATCATGGCTCCACAGGAATGTCATTGTGACTATTTCAACCGCAAAGGGTGGCATTCCATTATTCTCCAAGGTGTGGTTGATGGAAAGGGGTTGTTTTGGAACGTGTTTGCCGGATTGCCTGGGAGCTTGCATGATGCCAGGGTCTTGAGACTCTCTAACTTGTGGGAGTTAGCCTGCCGGGGAAGCCTCTTCCCAGCTCACACAAGAGAAATTGGTGGGGTGACTGCTGGCTATTACCTCCTAGGGGACTCCGCTTACCCCCTGCGGAACTGGCTCCTAAAACCTTTTCAGGACACCGGACGACTGACAGACGAACAGCAACTATTCAACAGAAAATTCAGCAGAGGGCGGGTGGTTGTTGAAAATGCTTTTGGCAGGCTTAAAGGAAGATGGCGCTGTCTTCTGAAAAGGAATGACTCTGACACTGAACTGGTAAAGTCTATGGTGCTGGCTTGTTGTGCTCTGCACAATCTGTGCGAAAATCATGGAGAGACCTACGTGACAGAATGGGACACACCTGTAGCAACAGTTCAGCCTGTGGTAGCAGTGGCACAGGGTGCAGATGAGGGGGGCAGTGATGTTAGGGAGGGTCTGATGCGTCACTTTCTGTCCAATGTCTGAACATTTTGCCTGTTTTGGAACAACAAATAAACCTTTTTGTATTCAGCAAAAATGCCTTCTATTCATATTTCACTCCTGGGAAAGTACAGGTATTACTCATATAGGTCACATTACAGTCACCACTCACAGAACAGTCGCAGGAATATGCCATCTGCTGCAGATGCTTCCTGGAATACTCACAATGAAGAGCAATAATCCTAAATAAAATCAATAGCCAAACAGTTAACCTGGGCCCATTTAAACTCAGAGCTTCTAAAGTTCACTCCCAAAAACAAACTCAATTATGCAAATGACTTACAGGAATTGACACTACCCAACACGATGTCAAGACTTTGCATTTTCTCCAGATGCCAATTTCTGGACCCAAATCCGCAACATTTACTTTATGGCCAAAAACTAAAACATACAACTCAAAGTCCTCCATAGATACCACTGCAGAGACCGCTAACTTTTAAAAATGGGTTTCAGCACTTGCTCGCATTGCACAAAAATAGTGCTGATAACATTAATATAGATATGGATGTTAATAGCAATAGAGAAGTCCAACGCACCACTAGAACAGGACACAATGTAGCGCAAGTATTGACAGTCATAATGGATTCATTTTTGGTGCTGTTACTTGTTTTGTCATTGTAACCTTTTGGTGGGATATGCATGTATGTGTTCATGTATATGCAGAGAGCCAATATTGCATATTAATGAAATATTAATTCAGACATTTTCAATCATACACCCATTAACCATTCCCACCATTACAAATACCTTTATTCCCTTTCAGATTTGGATCAGCCACTCGCACGTGTACACACAAACTCTTTATTGTGCCTTTCTTACCCACTTTCCTAGCTTATTGTATTGTAACCAACACTGTACATTATCAGTAGTCTGTATTGTTCCCTGTAGGCTCCTCACTTCATGACTGGGAATAAATAAACCTTCTATTCCTAAATTTACCACAATTAAGGATTTACTGACAACAAATAATGTGAAACCTTTGGTTTGCATGTTAACTGTTATGTGTACCGAGAAATGAAACCTGTCTTGGAAAAAATCACACATTTATTTAAAAAAACCAAAATTTTAAAGTGCACCAATAAAATTATTTACAAAGTGTCGTGGTGAAGAGTGTCTTGGTGAAGAGTGTCAGTTTCGGCGGCCACTCATGGCTTCCACCAGCTGGCCCAGGAGACCAAGAAACGATTGGTTAAATGCAGCCGCCTGTGCATTTTCCTCCCTCCTCAATGTCGCTTCCAACTCTTGCGACTCTCTGACGAGCTGGAGTTGCTGTGTCCGGTTCAGCTCCTGCTGCACCACATCTTCAGCTTGGATCTGCCTCATCATTTCTACAGTCTCCGTCTGGAAGAGCGCCCTTTTTCTCTTCCCTGTACAACAATAAAAAAAGTATTAACAGTTGGTAATTATCCAAAGCAGTGACATTTCTGGAGACATACTTTTATGTAGGCAAAAAGATGATTACGTTTCAGAACAGTATATATCACACTACCCGAGATGTTGCAACAACTACCCTTTCAAAGAGGAAAAACCTCCACTAAAAGAAAGTGTTACGTGTGGGATCATTTGACTTAATTGCAAATCGGGTAATGTTTGTATGTCATGTTTCACGCTTTGTCAATAAACAATATTTAATGGTCAATGTTTAGGCATTTTAGGACAAAGCATGAGCATGACTTAAATACACCCAGATGAATCAAATCAGTCAGTGCAGCTACAATTACATTTTGCTGCATTTCTTTTTCACACCAAAGTGAAGTGGTATTTTATCACTTTTTTGAACACTTCTTAACCTGTCCCCCCGCCCTTTATAAAGTCACTTTACTGCCTTTTATAAAGTCACTTTACTGCCCTTTATAAAGTCACTTTACTGCCCTTTATAACGTCACTTTACTGCCCTTTATAAAGTCACTTTACTGCCCTTTATAAAGTCACTTTACTGCCCTTTATAAAGTCACTTTACTGCCCTTTATAAAGTCACTTTACTGCCCATCATTCGTCACTTTACTTCACTGTACTGCTGTCACCTTACATTGTGTGCACCATGTGCACTTGTATATTGTAAATAATAACTGTATCTCTATTTTAAATTAAAATTTATTCTTTAGAAGTGTTTTTTATTCTTATTTTTATTATATCTTTCTGACTGTTGCACTGAGCCAAAGCAATTTCCAAGTCTGTGACTTCCTGTTACTTACGTGGCAATAAAAATGATTCTGATTCTGAGATTATGGACATTATCGACTCCCAAGACGTAAAGCATCATGTAGACAATAGTAGAGAATAGAATGGGTGTATTTGTGCATTTTTATGGTATTTTCTATAAAACTCAACCAATTATATCACATGTCATCATCGTGTGCCATAATATTGATCTGAAATTGATAGCTTAGTGATAATGATAATGGATAGTACTTTCTGGACCCTCAAAGACACTGAAACTCTCCGGTTCGAGCAGAACTGATAAATAGATTAATTGAAGCGAGCATTTTCCGTTAATATGTTTTAAATGTTGTCAAATTTAAGTTTGTGTAAGCCCTCAGTCGTACAGGGATTAGTCAAAGCAAAGGAAGGTTTTTCACCCATCATCTGTACTTCTTAGCAAGTTTTCCCGACGTTTCGTCCTCAACCTGGGGACTTCTTCAGGGAATGAATTCTCGGACCGCGCGTTGGAGATTTATAACCTATGGGTGTGGTAAGCCACACCCTAATCCTGATACTAACTCGTAAACAATCTAAGGTCTGTTTGATGTAGAAGGGAGCAGATCTAACGACCCTAACTCATTAGCATGTCACTGACCTTGTCCCAAGTTAGGGCGTTGTTTTTAGGATGTCGTCATAGATGCGAGGCAAAACAAATCTTAACCCTCCTCCTCTGTTAAGAGAAGGTTTTTGTTTCCTCACAAAAATGGCTTCTTTCACCCCTCTCTCAAACCAATTCTTCTCGCGAGCCAGAATTTTAACCTCTGTGTCATCCACCGTGTGGTTGGAGGCCTTGAGGTGGAGATGAACAGCCGACTGTGGCCCACTAGAGTTTTCTCTACGATGTTGGTAAAGTCGTTTCTGTAGAGTTTGTTTGGTTTCTCCAATATAGTGGTCAGTGCACTCCTCTTCACTACATTTAATTGAATACACCACATTGCTCTGTTTGTGTCTGGGTGTTTTGTCTTTGGGATGCACTAATTTCTGTCTTAACGTGTTGAAAGGTTTGAAATACACAGGGATTTTGTGTTGCCTAAAGATTCTTTGTAGTTTCTCTGAAACTCCCGCCACATACGGTAAGGACACCCCTCTCCTCCTACTTTCTTCTGAAGAAAGTAGGAGGAGAGGGGTGTCCTTTGCATCCCAAAGACAAAACACCCAGACACAAACAGAGCAATGTGGTGTATTCAATTAAATGTAGTGAAGAGGAGTGCACTGACCACTATATTGGAGAAACCAAACAAACTCTACAGAAACGACTTTACCAACATCGTAGAGAAAACTCTAGTGGGCCACAGTCAGCTGTTCATCTCCACCTCAAGGCCTCCAACCACACGGTGGATGACACAGAGGTTAAAATTCTGGCTCGCGAGAAGAATTGGTTTGAGAGAGGAGTGAAAGAAGCTATTTTTGTGAGGAAACAAAAACCTTCTCTTAACAGAGGAGGAGGGTTAAGATTTGTTTTGCCTCGCATCTATGACGACATCCTAAAAACAACGCCCTAACTTGGGACAAGGTCAGTGACATGCTAATGAGTTAGGGTCGTTAGATCTGCTCCCTTCTACATCAAACAGACCTTAGATTGTTTACGAGTTAGTATCAGGATTAGGGTGTGGCTTACCACACCCATAGGTTATAAATCTCCAACGCGCGGTCCGAGAATTCATTCCCTGAAGAAGTCCCCAGGATGAGGACGAAACGTCGGGAAAACTTGCTAAGAAGTACAGATGATGGTGAGAAACCTTCCTTTGCGTTGTCAAATTTAGTTAAGATTCAAAGTTCAACGATAACTTCGCACTCACACATTCCAGACGACAATTATTTAATTTCTGATGTTTCGGCCTCAATGTCTCAGTCAGATATTTTCCTCCCTCGCTGCACTGGGCCCAAAGAAACAGAAAGAAGGATTTATTTTATCTTTTTCTTTGTCTCCAGAGTGGGTTTCTGGTCCTGAAGTCTGAGAAGAATGTGACTCTAAACGCCCGGAATGACCAGGGCCAACTGACGGGGCAGCTCACCGTGGGTAAGTCCTGCAACAGACAAGACCGAGACCGAGGCTGACAACATATATGTTCTTCCGCTTTATCCGTTGCCGGGACGTAATGGCAGCAGTCAGAGCAGAGACCCCCAGACTTCCCTCTCCATCACACCTGACTGGACATGCCCAGAACAGGCTAAGACTGTTTTATGATTTGAGTTAGGATTTAGAGCAGACATGTCAAACTCAGGCTTGTGGGCCAAATCCGCCCCGCAAGACACTTTATAGTGGCCCCTAAAAATATTTTCAATGATCATTATTATTAACTTGCAGCATTGAAGGTTATGGGCGACCCCGACCCCTGACCAAAATGAGTTTGACATCCCAGTTTTAGAGGGATAATATTTAAATCAATATTTACCAGTATAAGGATTAAAATGGGATTGTATTAACTGTAAGTGAATAATAAAAATGTTACTCTTGTACCAGGACTAGAACCCTCCTGAGGTGGAAATGTTTCATGAATCAGGCTGTATGAGAAGTAAGGGGACGATAGTTAGCAACTTGTAAGGCCATAATTTGATGTGTAAGGCAAGTTAATTTGTATAGCACAACTCTCTTTCTACTCAAAGTGTAGAAACAAGTACTGTAAGTAATGTTTATTTATATAGCGCATTTTACAGACCAAGGTCCCCCAAAGCACTTTACAATGTTCAGACTCAAATCTTCAGGTTAAGAATGAATTTACTTGAGGAAATGGGCGGAGTCTGCTCTGCTCCTGCTGGGTCTGACAGAAAACCTGCAGCCACAGCCGGCCTTTCTGGACCGGTCTGGACTCTTCTGGTCTAGACTATGACACTGCCATCAGATTGAGGTGTTTTCTTATGAGATCCTGTTCTGCTTTGTATTATACTGATCATGATTTCACTTGAACTAAACATCATTCTGAGATCAAAACCCTGCTGGAGTCGTATCTTCACATGTTCCTGCATCTGGGACCAACCAAAGTGAGTTCTTGAAAATGCAGCTTTTTAAAATACTGTTCACCTCAATAGTTTTTCCTCTTAAAACTTCACAACAGCCAAAGATCTCTGAACTTATTTATAACCTCATTACTGTTTGATGGATGTTCAAATTAATGGAGTTAATCAAGACGTTGGACTCGTGGTGTTTCGGCCCAAACACAATATTTGAAGGCTTAATTGAAAGGGCAAAGGATTCTGCTTATTATCATCAACTGGAGCCATCAGTCAGACCAAATTACTGCAGTATGATTAATGACCACACAACTTTCTTTTTCACATTAATCGCTATTGATTTCAGCCACGTTTTAGTGCGGGGCAGATCGGACAGGAGCCACGACATGCTTTTTGTTGCTCGCAAAACCGTCTTCTCAAAAACAAGCTCATTTTATCCTGAAATGAGTTGGAACTCGGTGAGAATAATTACATTCCCCTGCCATGGCTGCATTTGGATTAATGGCGGAGCGAGGCCGGCACATCTGGAAAAGCACCAAAGTCTGAGGAACTAGAATTAATATTCCTCACCAGCGGAACAGATTACTGATTTGTCTCCGTCCTTTGTGAAAGCTCGGCTGATCCAGCTTTGCCTGCGCCTTTCATTACACAGCAAGCACTCCACAAAGTATTTCACAAAGTATTTCACAAAGTATTTCACTTGGCCCACAGCCCGACGTGCCCAATGTGGCGAAGCTATTTAGTGCAGAGACAAACTTGCTACAAAACCCGTTCCAGACCAAACGGGAAAAAATAGTAATTACTTTTTTTTTTTTCATTGAAACTGATGCGACAGAATGGCTGCCAGATAGAGAGAGACCTTTCAGGAAAACACAGCACGTCCCTGCATTTTGTGTAGTGATGTTCTTGACTGCGCCGATTGAATTAAAATCGTAATTTTCAAAAAAATTGGGGCGACAGTGGCTCAGTTGGTCGAGCATTGGCCTTTGAATCTGAAGGTTGTGGGTTCGAGCCCACCATAAGACCTACTTCCATACTCCCACTGATGTCTGCTGCTGTTGTGTCCTTGGGCAAGACACTTAACCCCACTTTGCCTGAAGCCCCCGCTGAAAGATCTCAGCACCTGCAGGAGGATCAGTGAGGGGCTGGTGCTCTGACTGCCACCCACTCCCCCCCAACCCAGAAATGGATTAAGGGGAAGAAGATGGATGGATGTGAGAAAATTGCAAAGACTGCAAAGACTCTGGTTTCATTGTGAACAAAAAAAAGGACTGAAGAAAAGAGAAATGACGCTAGGACTTTGGACACTTACGAATTATTGTTTCTGGTCTAACAGGAAGTCACAAACTAGGAATTTGAGTTTGTAAATTGTGCAAAAAAGTTTTAGGCGAGGCAAGTTTATTCGTATTAAAACAATTCATACACAAGGCAACTCTAAGTGCTGAAACAATTACACACGGCATTAACGTGGTGCGGTGGCTCATTTAAAGACAGCCACAGTGAGCCAGGGGGAGCCACAGTGAGTCACAGGGAGCCACAGGGAGTCACAGGGAGTCACAGTGAGCCACAGTGAGCCACAGTGAGCCACAGTGAGCCACAGTGAGCCACAGAGAGCCACAGGGAGCCACAATGAGCCACAGTGAGCCACAGGGAGCCACAATGAGCCACAGTGAGCCACAGGGAGTCACAGGGAGTCACAGTGAGCCACAGTGAGCCACAGTGAGCCACAGAGAGCCACAGGGAGCCACAGGGAGCCACAATGAGCCACAGGGAGCCACAATGAGCCACAGGAAGCCACAGAGAGCCACAGGGAGCCACAGGGAGCCAGGTGCAGCAGTTCTTCTGACGCTGAGACCAGGGAGACTAGTTCCATTTTGTGTGGTTCAAAAGTCAAGGTATATATCTAAATATAGGTATCCCAGCTTTAAATGACAAGCAAGATCTCCCTTAAATCCTTCTGGGCTTAAAACTCATTTAAGACTGGACTTGTCTTTTCCATCTGCAATTAAAACCATCCAAATGCACTTAAGAGAAATACTGCCTTATTTAAGCTGTGATCAGACTGTTTTGGTTTTTTGTCGCAATCCCTTGATTATTCTCAGACTGTTTTAGAGCTCAGAACACAGCAAGACTTATAAATATGTGCAGATTATTTCAGATTAAGATGAAGAGATCTTTTATTCGTCCCACAGTGGGGAGATTCTTCCTGTTTGTTCAGGAAATAAGTGCAATCTATGTAAAAAATATACATTACTCAAACATGAATCCTTCTAAAAACCACCAGAACATGAGCAAAAATATGCCTCGAAGTGAAGGGAAAAAATGCTTTCGCTTCATATAGAGACATGGATTTTAATTTACAGGTTAATCACAAAACTGCCAGAAATCATTAAGCAGCGTTCCCAAAATAGCGACGTCATTATGTGGAAAACATTACATTTCCGTTGGCACTATCATAAGCCTCAGAGTGGTTTGTGTGGAATCATTTGACGGTCACTTTTTTATTATTTTCCATTGGATTTATTGGATGTTTTTTTGCAGATCCATTTTAAGCCTGTTGCAGTTAATAGTGTATAGAATGTACCAGCTTCGTTACGTTTCCATGGCGACAACAAGGCGGCTGGAAATTTGTTTAATTAAATTGAAAAAGCGCTCCCACACAATGACCCCACTCGCCCGAACTCGACTTACATCAGCGTGTCCACCAGTTAAATAAATGTGCCATACAGATTAAATTGGGTTGGAGAAAAAACCTCGTAGATCCATGGAAACAGGAAGTACCGTCACGTTAGTCCAGTTCTCAGGTCTCTGCACTTTCTGTGGCTCTGAGACTTTAGGCACTTTGAGTTGCCTCATGAGCAAAATGAGCTTCCTCCGCAGAGTGGCTAGTAGATAGTATTGACGGCGATATTGAGCAAGTGGTGAAAAGGTGGTACTGCACCCTAAAACTCCCCAGAAAGGGGACGGCGCTCTTGAGCAAGTGGTGAAAGGTGTTACTGCACGGTATTTTTCAAAGAGTTTTGAATATGTAATGAGTTAGATTCTGTTGACCCTGTGTGTGTGTGATAAAGTAAATGCTTCACAGTTGTCTAAAGTGATTTATGATCATAGCACATGTTTATTCTAAAACAGTTAGGAATAGCTAAGGTGCAGGGAGGACCTGTTAACGACACTTAGGTGTGTGTGTGTGATAGCCTTATCATGATGAACGGTTGGGAGGGTGTACTAACAACAAATCAGAATGGGTGGGAGGTCTGTTTACACCGTCCTGAAAACGTAAGAGTTCAGATTGTTGTATATTTTAATATTTGACCATTTGAACATCATAGCCAGAAAGACCTCTGTGCACTCAGGAAAAACCCCAAAGACACAGGATAATCAGACATGAGTCATAAAGATAAAATGCTGTTTAAACAGGGCGAATTATTAACTTTAAATAATAAACATTTTGACGAGGACAAAAGTACAGAACCTGATCTTGAGGCAGACTGGGAGATTCACCAACTGCATTCTGACGCCTCCCAGTGGATAGGGGACGTCAGCACACCCGGAAACCTCCACCCTTGGACGCATAAGGATGACGTCATCGGAAGTCTCCCTCATGAGCCCGTGTGTGTGTGTTTTTTGAGGTCAGACAGGACAGGGCACGGACAGGGAAAGACCAGGCAGAGAATAGGAGCACTTCTGTTGAACATTCTGTATCTGATTGTAAAGATAATTAAATGCAGATGTTAAACTTGAACATCGTTTGCCTTACTTCTGCATCCATTTTGAAACACGTTAGTCAAAGGGAATTATTGACTACATTTGGTGACCCCGACGTGATGGTGCAGAAGAAAGACAGAGATGAGCTCAAATATAGACTGGGTCCGTGGGCCGGGAGAATTCTCTCTTCTCTTCTCTCTTCTCTTCGAAAGAGGTAAGCGGATCGTTACTTTTGAAAATCTGCACATTGTTTTAAATGGAAGAGAGAGAGAATTCGGCTCGACGGACTGCAGCGTGGCCAGACGACCGCCGTGATGGGCGTTCCATCGGACGCGATAGAACAATAGTCAGGTTTAGACGTTTTAACCTTGGGGGAAGCATTGGTCCCTCCAAAAAAAACA